AGTTCATGGTGACTCTAGGTACAAGAGGACCAAACACTGTCTGCCCCCTTGCCTTCCTCACAATTGTTTTTGACGTTGAGCCCAGCAATGCAGCCACGGTGCCAGTCCACCTTGTCTAGAGCTTTCCTCTTCCTCATTGCCTGGCTGCTCTACCAAGCATGACGTCCTTCTCCAGGGACTGACCTCTCCTGACAACATGCCCAAAGTATGTGAGACGAAGTCCTGCCAAGGCAAAGGAGAAAAAAAGCAGTTTCCCTCCAGAGTCTGACGACATGCTGAGTATCATATGGAGAGGCCAAGCAGTCCATTTTTGGCCTTCATTCCAAGTCCTGGGTCATCGTTTCTGAGCAGTCCATAACTTTAACCGTCCTGTTAAGTTGCTTCCATTTCTTACACCCTGATTCTTTCTCTTTCCCACAAACTCCAGTGAGAAAGGTGGATGTGTTGTAAAGAGACCTAGACAGGGTCTTGAGGCGATGGGAGAGCTGGGTCTCTCTGCAGCTCAGGTCTCGGCCACTTAGAGCTATCCGGTAATTGGGGTGGTGGGCACAGCACCTTCTGACATGCTTCCTGGACATTGGAGCTGCAAATGGCCAAGAAGAGATCTACACGAAGTTCCACCCATCCCTCCTCACCCAGCACTCGGTCACAAATGGACCGACCTGTGATGGAGACCAGACCATGTGGAAAACAGCTGGTGACTAAGAACTTGTCAGCTGAACTCCAAACAGAAGAGAGGTCACAGCCCTTAAAGACTTAGGTCCCTAAAGGATTGATGAACTTCCAACTTAGAAACCTTTCACCGGTATATGACATCTGAATTTCGGCATCTCACATGCATTGTGCCTAGTACCTGTGGTTGACTGCTTCCTACCATAAAGCCATCAGGTAAATTTGTGGTGATGGCTGGCTTTCTGGTCACATGGAGAATGTGTGTGTGTGATAAACAGCTGAGAGAAATCTGTAGAGTAGGTATTCTCGCTTTCCATACAGGGTTCAGTTTGGGCCAGTGCCCATCTGCCCCTGGAGGCTCGTCTCTTTCTAGGATGCGAGGCATGCTACAGCAGAAGGTCCAGGTTAAGGCAGACTAGGAATGAAAGCCTGATGATCAGATTCTATGAGTCAATCAAGGAAAATCACATGGTTCATAATGAGTCAATTGCAATGAGCAGTGTTGGTTCCATTGTGCACGAGGCTGTCCTAAGTCAAGGACTAACTAACCTGACAGCTGCTGACAGCAATCTGACAGGAAGTGCCCTAAAAGAAACTCACGGTGCTTAAATGCAACAGGAAGCGTTGCTTTTGAAAATACATCATTGTGGTAAACCCCGCACATGCAGCCCCATCCAGGGAGTATGGGCACTTAAACAAACACAGTGCCACGTGGACACCAGGCATGGGAAACCTGCAAGTAGCTAACAGAGTGGCGAAGCATTCTCTGAGGTTCCCATTTTACAGAGGTTCACTATGGTCAAACACAGTGGTAGAGGGAGGTCTCTCAGCCCCTTCACTTTAAGGAATACAGGCCTCAAAAAAGTTTAGGGATGTATGTACCTAAAAATGTTCTTACCTAGTACACATTTTTACCCACCACCTACACCCTTGGGGGACCCTACAGTGACTTTTTGTTCTCCACAGATGCAGAGGAATTTAGGATTAGTCATTCACACATTAACAAGTATGAATAATATAATTTGTGAGAAACACCTAAATAATAAGTTCAACCAATTCACATTGAGGAGGAGGGTGGTAACGGTGCTTATTCCAGAGGACCACTTTAATTGGTTCTAAAAAGAGAAGAGACCAAGCTTGATTCAAAACCAATGTCTCTTCTACAGTGTTCACGGAGTTCACCTGAGGATACCCAGTCAAAGGTTGCAATATCACGAAAGAGCTTGCCCTCTTGTCAAAAACGACCTTAGTGAAGGAAGGTGTTTGACAAAACATTCTCTAGAACTTGCTCCCCCGTTTAGTGAACCGAGTGGACATTCCAAGGCCCGGTTTTAGTGAATTAATTGGTTGGCACGTGCCAGGGAGTCAATTTCAACTTCTAACAACCCGGTCGGACAGAAGAGAACTGTGCCCTACCGTCTGATAGTCTGCAATGCTTACAGGAACAGATGGTCACGTGCTTTCTCCTTTAGACTCGCTGGGTAGATTCAAACCACTGTCCTGTGCACATAGTAAGGCATCATGTGCTAGCCCTGGTTGACTAGAGCAGGCGTCCTCAAACTACGGCCCGTGGTCCACATGCGGCCTGCCGAGCACATTTATCTGGCCCGCTGGGTATTTTTGCCCTGTTTTGTTATTTTACTTCAAAATAAGATATGTGCAGTGTGCATAGGAATTTGTTCATAGATTTTTTTTAAAACTATAGTCCAGCCCTCCAATGGGTCTGAGGGATGGTGAACTGGCTCCCTGTTTAAAAAGTTTGAGGACCCCTGGACTAGAGAAACAAATTGATAGGCACTCATATGTGTATAAGGGAGAACTTTATATCAAAGAGTAATTGTATATCAAGAAAGCATCCCAGTCCAGTCCAGATCAAGTCCATAAGCCCGAAATTAACCCCTATGTCCGACCCTAACCTATAAATTCCTCGTCAGACTCATGCAATACATGCAATGGTGCCGAATGCAGGAAGATCACAGGCCAGCGGGTGGAAAGTCTGGTGGATCCAGTGGTGGTGGAAGTATCTCAGCGATGGTGTGGGTCTCCACGTTGCTCCACCAGCTCCAGGGCCCTGGCTGCCATCAGTGTGTCTCCATGTGGCTTGTCAACAGGAATGACTCACAGGGAGACAAGCCAAGAGAGTGTGTGTGTCTGGCCTCCAGTGAGCTATTTATCTCTGTCATGCCTCCAAATGAGGTCATCAAGCTGAGACCTGATTGACAGGCTTGACTCTACCCTTCACAAGTTGACCGGAGATTATGTAACTGCCACACATCAGGTCTCCTTAAGGCCCACAGAAGTAGAATAAGAGTGCCTTTGGGGGGTGTTATTTGAATGTCCTGCTCTAGATGTGTCACAGAGACCCAAGAGGCCTCCAGTAACTCCTTTGGCCTACTTCTCCATTTGCAAAATCTATGAATATTTTTCCACAAGGAAATCCTTCTCTCCGGTTTCAGAACTCTACAGTGAGTACTGGGCATCGGACAGTGAACGTGACTTGGTTTCATGGTGATGCCATTGCTTTGTCTTGGATCCAGATTTCTCAGGGTTGTAGGATTTGTGGGGCCCTTTCCAAATGATCTTGCCAGGTGTTTCCACCAATGTGGGTGGTTGAGTTCTTTCAGTTATCAAAGGATGGGTCAAGGTCTTGGAATCAGTGGGCCTAGATTTGAATCCTTTTACTAGCTAGTTGATTCTGGTCATTGTCTTGAGCTATCTGTTCAAGACAATCCTACTTTATCATGAGGATTAAATTGGAATGTAGATCCTTAACATTATGCTTGAGCACTGATGGCTATTGGTTATTGAGTGTTTACTATTAGTATCCATTCTACTGATATGTATAGAATTCTAAATGTTCAGTATATCACAGATTCAGTGGAGAACGAATCATATCCCCTTGGGTGAAATAACCTCCAAATTTAGAGGGAGAGGGACCAGTGGACAACTACTACATGCAAGGAAAAAGCATGACCCAGTAGAGAGTAGAATGTGCTAAGAAAACACAAGGGAGAGTTTCCCAACCAACCCTTGGGGCATCAAAGGAGGCTTCCTGGAGGAGGCTCTATCTCCTTTGAGACCTGAAGGATGGGCTGGGGCTGCAGACCGAGCACAGTGCACCATGATGAGGCTGTGTTCCCTTCCCCTGGACTGGCAGATCTCAGGCACAGCAGGTCCTGTGGGTATACTTTCTTTCCTCCCATTCAGAGTGTTGGTGAGACCACAGAAAGAATGGCCATGCTTTGAGTATGTGTGTTCAATATACAGCTTTTGAAGAGAAATAATCCCATCTGCCAAGAATATCAATTACAAATCCCTGAAACTCCAACAAGAATTAATTTCAATTTCTTTTCTACTGTTCCATCTTCTGTGTGTTACTATTATTAGTACTACCACGAGCATCATCAGCAACAACACAATTATCATCGTTGTCATCTTGATCTGTTTTGGAGACTTTCTGGGGAGATTATGGGTGAAGCCAGAGCTGGATGAAGCAACTTAGCCTGCATGAGACACACTGTAGGGAGCACCATAGGGAGGATGGAGAGAACAGTATCTGCCAAGAACTACCTCCCTACTCTTCCCCTAAGATGTGGATTTCTACTCCAATAGATATTACCAGTTCCCAGTCATACCTAGCCCAGCCTAAGAAGGCTAAATAACTTGGAGTTTTACCATTAATACTCTGGCCAAGAAGGGGAGATTTGCCTAAAATCGAGGTCATGTTGGTATCCATAGCAATGTGGTGACTGCCAGAGGTCACTGCCTGTGCACACTGCTGCTGCTCGTCATGTATCTCCATAGAACATGCGGCCTGGGGTTGTCTGTTGATGTCAGGCCCTGAACACGAATCTATTCACCAAGTTGCCATGGTAAAGTTGGCTCTTAATCATACTAGTCTATTACATCTTAAATACACTTAAATACTTTTTTTCATTTAGAAGCCTCCTTAATGTCCAGCAATAGTTCAATCATAATTATTTAAATAATTACTTCTAGTATTCTTTGTCTTCCCATGACAGTGAGAGTGGAGCAATGAGAACTCTTCCCTGCCTATTACCACAGCTTCCAGCTCACTGGACCGGGAACAGAGGTGACCAACAACAGATGGCCTCTCTAACTTTGTCACCCAGGTGTTCAAAACTGACAGCTCCAGGCCCAGTGTTCCTGATTGTCCCTTGGAGAGTCTCCCTGTATTTTAAGGCACTGGGTTTATTGGTCCCAGAAAGCTGGTGCTTGGGACAGGCCAGTGTCTTTACACAGTAAGTGTGAAGGAAGAAGCTGAGGAGTCTTCTTACCTGTTACCTTTCTTACCTTGCTCTCTCCAGGAGCGGCCGAGCTGACCTGGCTGCCATATACTATGAGCGCATCGATGTGGAAGGCCATCACTACGGCCCCTTGTCACCTCAGAGAAAAGACGCCCTCAAGGCTGTAGACACCGTCCTGAAATACATGACCACATGGATCCAGGTGACTTAACGCAAGGACAACTGCTCTAACCTCTCTGTTGCTATCTGCTTGTCACTTTGACGATCAGACCTTCAACATCTTCCTTCTCATTGTTGATGGCTAACTGGCTAGACCAATGCAAAGACTTTGTGAGTCTCTTTTCTTCACTCAGTGCCTCTTCAGGTACCAAGAGAGCCCTTACTTTACACCCATCAAAGGAGGATTCAAATGACCCAGGTCTGTGGTATTACCTGAGTTAGGGATAGAGCAGTCCAGCTCATTAGAATCCAAATCACTCTGCATACCTGCATGGCAGGGACTAGGCAGGAGGCCTGAGTTCTGCCCCGGAATGTTCCACAGACATCCTGCATTTCTTCAAGTAAGCTATATTTTAAATCTCGTGGGTCTTACTCTGCACAAGGGTTAAATGGGCAGAGGATAGTTCTCCCATCACCATACAAGCTTGTTAAAAGGGCCAAAAAGATGAAAACAGAGGCTGTACCCCTGAAAAACTAAAAGGGTGGGATTATTTTTTGTTTTACTAACATAGGATCTGTGCTTTCACCATCTGCTCCCCAAATTGTTTCCTTTTGTGATTTTGAACTGTCTCATCAAAGCAGAAGAGCAGATGATGAAACACAGACTCAAGAGACTAGCTTTTCTTCTATAGGTGTGTGCGTGCGTGCGTG